TCATGCTTGGTAAAGTAGAGGGTCAGTGAAAAAGAGGAAGACCCTCAATGAGATGGATTGACACAGTGGCTGCAACAATGGGCTCAAGTATAACAATGATTGTGAACATGGCACAGGATTGTGCAGCGTTTCGTTCTGTTGTACATAGGGTCCCTATGAGTAGGAACTGACTCAACATCACCTAACAACAATAATAACGTAAGTGTTACATCCAGAATCAAGCACAACCAGGACCAGAGGGCACAAGCAAGCTGCGTATGCAGATAGCTGGTATTCATAACTGTTACACCTGTGCCCCTCCTCAGCTCACAGCTATGGCTCTATGGGGAAGCTGGTACGACCAGTTGAAGGAGGAAAGAAAAGCTTGCATTTGGCTCACAGATGGATTGATTCAGTACTTAGGTGCAAGCCAAAAATAGATAGCAGCTGTATTACAGCCACACTTGAGGGAGGTTTTGGAAGACTGTGGTGAGGGAAAGTCCTCCCAACAAGCAGAGCTTCAGGTGGTACACTTGATCATCCACTGGGAGTGGAAAGAGAAATGGCCCAAGGTTAGACTATATATATGGAATTATGGCAATACTAAGTGGCCTGGCTGCTTGGTCAGGACCTAGAAAGAAACAGATTGGAGACCAAGACAAGAAGGTCTAGGCTAGAGGCATGTGGAGGGAGTATGAAGTATAAAATCTTTGTATCACATGTTAATGCCTTCCAGAGAGCATCCACGACCGAAGAGTCACTAAATAACCAACAGAGTGACTCAGCCAGTTGATATCAGCCAGTCTCAGCCATCCGCCACTCCAGTGCTGGCACAAGGGGCACAAAAGTGAAGTGGCCATGGCAGCAGAGATGAAGGTACACATGAGGCCCAGAGCTTATTTAGCTATTGTCATTGCCAAACTGACAGCAACAGAGACCAATGCCGAGCCCCCAACATGGCACAGTTCATCAAGAGGACCAACTAGCCACTTGGTGGCAAGTTGACTACATTTGGTCCCTCAGGTCTTAGAAGTGTCAGTGGTTCATTCTATATTAATAGCTATATATTCTACATGTGGGTATGACTTTCCTGCCCGCAGGGTCTCAGCTGGTGCCATGATCCAAAGGATTATAGAATGCTTAACATCCTGCCAGACCAGGGGACTCACTTCACAGTACAGGAGAGGCAGAGTGGGCATCCATTGGTCCTCTCATATACTGCACCACCCAGAAGCTGTCTGCCTGATAGAGCATTGCCATGCCCTATTTAACGCAGAGCTAAGGCACTAGTTAAAGGCAATACTCTGTAAGGATGGGGTGCTCTCCTCCAGGAAGCAGTATATGCGTTGAATCAAAGACTTTCATATGGCATTTTATCCCCAATAGGAAGACTACATGGGCCTGAGAACCAAGGGATAGAGGAAGGAATGACCACATTTACCATCATTCCCAATGCCCAGCTGAGTGCTTTGTGCTTCGTGTCCCCATAACTATGGGTCCTGCAGGGTTAGAGGTCTTGACCCCCAAAGGAAGCATACTTTCACTAGGGGACACAACAAGAATCTCATTGAATTATAAGCTAAAGCTGCTGCCTGATGCACACAGGACCAGCAGGGATGAAGAGAATTCACCATCTTGGCAAGAGTAACCAGCCCTGATCACTCATAGGAAACAGGGCTGCTGTAATACAGTGGGGCCACAGAGGACTATATATAGAGCCCAGATTATCTACTTGGGTGCCTCTAAGTGACAGTAAAGGGACAGAAACAGGAGCTCAGACCACTTCTGAAAGACGTTCTGAGTCATGCCGTCAGGTAAGCCACTGAGACCAGCTGAGGTGGTAGCTCATGGTGAAGGGAATCTAGAATGGATAAGGAGGAAGCAGAGGATGAGTATCAACTACAGCCCCAAGGTCAACTGCAGGAGCAGGGGCTGTAATTTTTCTCTAGCTCTTTCTTCCAAGTTTTCCATCAGGAAGAGAGGCCCACCAGAATTTTGAAGGAGCCACTTTTGAACATATTTGGAGAAGCAGATCTTAAAAGTGTAAGCAGTGGACTCTAAAAGACACAGAGATGAGTTTCCCAGACACCCCCCACCCCCCGCCCCAAGGAAGGTTTGCTGCCTAGCTTTGTAAAGTGTGGTCAGCAGATCCCTTCTCCTAACAGCAAACAGTTGTCAGATCCTGCAGGGTCTGCCTCAGCTACAGAGAATCACCTCACCCAAGGTCATGCCTTTCCTGGGGCAGCCCGTATCAGGTGACTGAGCAACTCAGGCTATGACAGCCAAGCCATTTTGGCCTGACCCAGGGACACTCTGACAGGCAACACTCACTCCAGCGCTGCTACCAGGCTGGCCAAGGCTTTGGCAAACCTGCTCCACGGTTCCACTTCTTGCTCTGCTCACTTCCGCTTCCTCTCCCATCCTTTCACAGGTGTTTATCCCTAATAAACATCTTGCACCAAACTCTGTCTCATGTCTGCTTCAGGAGAACCCAAACTAACTATTTCTGCTGTCACAAATTTACTTCACAAGTACAAACAAATCCGACAGTACGGTTGGTACTGGGACAAAAATGCCAAAAACAAACCAAACCAGTTGCCATTGAGTCAATTCTAATTCATGGCGACCCCATGCGTGCCCAAGTAGAACTGTGTCCCATAGGATTTTGAATGCCTGATTTTTTGGAAGCAGATTGCTAGGACTTTCTTCCGAGGTACCTCTGGGTGAACTTGAAACTCCAACTTTCGTTTAGCACCCAGCCAAGGACTCCAGGACAAAAATACTTGTCTGAAAAAACTTTTCTGTGCACAGAGAATATCATTCAATCACAGCATGACCAACCTATGGAAAGGAGCTGTTTTCTGAGCGTTTTCAGTTTATTTAGTATACCCTTTAACTGATGGAATTCTCTTCTTAATGCCACATGGTCTTCAATCTTAAGAAAAAAAAATTATGATTTTATTGTACCAAGAAACATAAGAAATCTGCTTCCAATGTAACTTCTGTTTTCACTGAAAAGCAGAATTGCAGCACCACTCAGTAACAAGGGGGGGAGATCAGCCTTGTCTGGAGGAAACACAGTTCCTATTGGTTGCCTATTTACTGGGAGGGCCGTTTTTTTGTTTCAGTTACGGTAAAACTCTGGATTTTTGCCAAATTCTTTGAACTTTCAAAAGTGCAAATCTCTTTAGGAGGTTTAGTCTTTTTAAATATTTTTTCAGAGGTTAAAAATTAAATTTCACAAGAATTCCTGGTGTAGAGATAGTCATCAACAGAGGCACCGACCCTGACTATCTCCAGCATGAAGCTTATTCGTGTTGCTCTGTTATTTTTGTGCTGCTACTTAAGTTTTTGTAAGGTAAGTAATTCAATCTTTATGCAAACCATTTTAAGTAGTTTTTTCAAACAAAAATTATTGAAAACTGAAAGATATGATTTTGGCTTAAATATTACGTTGTTCATTTACCAATAGTGGCACTATATAGTCAGTAACAAATATTTTGTTAGTATCTTAATAAGACAGTTTTAAGAAAATAGCTGCTTTCCTATGCTTATATCTGTGCATAGATATTGAACTGAACAAGAATTTTATTAATATCGATCTATAATTTACAGCAACCAAACGAAATCAATAAACATTTTCCAAGCTCCCACTATATGCAAGGTATAGTGCCAGGTAAATAATAAGATGGATCTCTTCCTTCAACAGTCTTTTAGTATAGTTATAGAGAGATGATACAAATATGCCAATGGTGAAATAGTAAGCAAGATTTAAACAATATTTGAAAACACAAAAGAAGAGACTTCATAAGACAGCATACATTGAATTGCCAAAAATGGCACAAATATCATGTGCCAAAGACTTTGAGAAGAGCACAAATCACTTCATGCTGTGAGATCAGGAAGAGTTTACGGACCAAGTGGGATTTGATTTGGACCTTTACGTCTTAGATTAGATTTGATCAGTGGAGAGAAAGAGGAAATACTTTCCAGTCTTTCCAGCCAGAAAAAGCAGCAAGTGCTACAGCAGGAAGGCAGCAGAACTCCAGGCTCCTTCAGATGAAAAAATCCATTTGCTTGGATTGGAGGCTTCATGGGCAACTGTGAAAGTTAAAACTGAAATGTTAAGTTGTAGCCAGGTTGGAGGATTATCTATCAAGGTTAAAAATGTCTAAGACGTTTTCACTACTTAATGCTGATTGTCTACTTTTGTGTTTAAAGCCTTCCCTCCATACCATCAGTCCCCAGAGATATTGGAAATGAAGTCAAGTCTCCCGTTACAAGTAGTATTGGGATTTAAGTCAGTTATATTTAAATCCTAAAGAAAAGGATTACACTGGAGGCAAGAGAAATTGAGAACATTTGTATTGTACATAAATAAAAAGCAACAAATTGAAATATTTGTTTGATAAATAATACTGGTGAAAATCTAAAGTGTAAAAATTTGATTCAAATACATAAGATATCAAATGGTCACAGGAGATCATTAAAGTATTTAAAATATAAGAATGAATATAAATTTGAGTTGATGTAAATAATAAGTCATCCTGCGGAAGAATGTTCAGCCTCACTAGTAATTAAAAAAATAAAAATTAAATCAACTAAGACACCTCCACATAACTATTTGAGTAGAAAAAAACTATTGGTGCTGTAAATAGATTTCATTTTTCTGGACAGTCTTACTAAATGTAGCAAGAACTATAAAAAGATTAAGACCTACTAGTCAGATGATTCTTGTCAAAAACTGTGCATGGTTTGAGATTTTTGCCCTACTTACAAGCTATTAAGCTAGCCTATCACAGTTTCATGGACGATGGCAGAATACACATAATCACTGGGTCAAAGACAAACGAGTTTATTGCTCATGGCAAAATCAGTAGCCAGAGCTTAAAGTTCACTTCATAGGTTTCCCGTGCTCTGCAAGTTCCACAGGGGCGACACCTAGTGCCCATGACAGGTGCCTGCATGTGCGGTGAGTTGAGTTACAGAAGAACCCTGAGCTGGGGCCTACCGCTTCTGTATTAAGCAGAAGCAAGCCTGCTCTTTGTCTAGCATCAGAATGCTACCTCTTACCTCAAAGTTGTTCACGCCAGGCAAAACCATAAGTGCCCATTGGTGACTGCCTTTCCCAACAATTCTATTTCATAAACTTAAAGGAAAAAATATAGATATATGTGTTCACAGATTTAAACAGCGGCATTTCTATAATTTTCCAGAACACATAAAATCTAAATGCTCAAAGTAGGGAAAAACCAAACTCGTTGCCGTCAAGTCGATTCCAACTCACAGCAACCATACAGGAGAGAGTAGAACTACCCCACAGGGTTTCCATGGAGTACCTGGTGGATTAAAACTGCCGACCTTTTGGTTAGCAGCCATAGGTCTTAACTACCACACAACCAGGGCTAAAGTAGGGAAAGGACTTAGCAAATTATGGTATATCAACATAATGGATTGCTATATAGCAATTTAAAAAAATTCTTATGTAAATATTATTGAGGCATCAAAACTTGTATGTAAAATATTGTCAAGTGAAAAAAGAACACAAAATAGTATGCACACAAAAGAACATTACAAATTGATCATATCTAGGCATCTATGTATATGAATCAAGACTGGAAGAAAATTTAGAGTCATAAAAATAGAATTGATGTTCCTTGTTTCCATTTTTTTATGTTGCATAAATTTCTCAGAAAAATGCTAGAAAATATCGTTATAATGTCCATGACAAAAATATTTTCAGGTTATGACAGTAGGCCATACAGTACCGAACCTTAAAGGAATTTAGAGTTTAATCTGAGCCCAACACCATCTTCTCAGAAGACACTGAGGCCCAGAGAAGTCAAGTGTCTCTTCCAAGATCACCGAGCTAGTTAGTGGCAGTTGTGGGACTAGAACCACTGTCGACTTTTCTCTGAAGACATTTTTACTACAATCAAAAAGAACACAGGTCTTCTAATTTGTAAAATAATAATAGTCATTGTTTTCTTTTTCTTTTGGAAATTATCCAAACGCAACAGAAAGAACAATAAATAAAAACACAAACTCTACTTTTAAGTCTATGAGATATCTAGACCTCAAAACCATGAGGTTTTCAGGAAAGCGAAAGCAGGTCCAGGAACAACAAAAAGAAACCACCCGTAGCTGCCAATCTCAGAAAAAAAGCTGGCATGATACACTTCTCCAAGTAAGCGGCCAATGTGTAAGTATGAAACCAACAATCTCTTGTTTGTAGAAATGACAATAGAGTGACCAGATAAGCAGGAGCTTTACAGGACCCTGTTTTTCATAAGTCTCAAGAACAAGGAAGACGGCCACAAACAGGGACTCACACAGACAAGCCACATCTGCAGGAACAATCTGTTGATGAGGCAGCAGGGAAGAGAGAGTCTCTGCTGTGTAAGCATCCCAATAGTAACGCTTGTGTTGACTGGAAAGAAGTAAAGTCTAAAAGATTTTACTCACAAAACTGAAAATTCCCAAGATCCTGGAACATAGTCCTAAACTCTCCCTCACGCAAACTCCCTGCAAACAGTTGGTCCAGGAACTACCCACTTCATTTCAACTGAAATGAATAACAATAAGAAAGGAACCAGCAAAGGATTTTTGACCATCAGGGAATATTGTTCTTATGAGTCCTTCTTGACGAAACTTCTAGAGGACAAACTTCAACTAACTGTAATATGAAAGAAGAAACAGAGACAAAAAGACGGGTAACACGTGAAAAACGTTCAAGTGGCAAAAGTGTTGTGTATCTTTTTACATTGATTAAAAAAATATAAAAAAAGGAAGGAGTTAAGATGAGTACTGATTCCATTTGGCCCAGTGGGGGAGTACGACTTGCACAACATGGGAATTGTGGTGTAGAATGAAGCGTAAATATTATTACTTCCGACGACATGGAAATGGCATAACTAACAAAAGTTGGGAGGGGAAGAGGAACAGAACGTGTTCAATAGTCTAAGTACTTTGATTATCTCACTTTTTTTAATAGCAGGGAATCAGATGAGATCAGTTAAAGCTAATAAATGATGTAATAGCTATGTAAGCATTCTTGAAGGCCCAAAGGCACAAGCTAAGGATACTTAGAAATAAAAAAGTAAACACTGCAATATATTATAATTGGTGGTGGATCAAGGGGGGAAGAACTGGATATTGCAAATTCTGAATTGCTTATGTTAGGGAATTAATAAAGACTAAATAAACAGAATTATGTGCATTAGATAAATGGTTATAACATAGAAACAATTCTTAAAATCTTTACAAGGACACAAAAATAGTTTCGAAAAGCAGAGAAAACAGGCCACATAGTGGATGATTAAAACAAACAAAAATGCTGTAAAAGGAGTGAGCATAACTTAACATAACATGACATATTATACATCACATATATAATATATAATAATATACATAATATATAACCAAATATATCTGTCATTAAAAATATGAAAGGACTTTCCCATTTATTAAAAACAAGGGGTAATTTCAGCTGGCTCACTAGGCAAACTTCCACATGGTACCCAGATAAAACAAAGTAATTGAAAATACAAAAGTAAATAAGCGAACAAAAATGTATCAGGTAATTACAAAACAAAGTCGAGTAGGATTTATGATTTAATATTGGACAAAGTAAAAATTCAGGGCAAAAAGCATTAAGCAAGAACAAGAGATAAATGAAACAAAGTAGAAACAGAACAGGCAATGTTCTCTGATCTCAATATAATAAACCCAGAAATAAAATTACCTAACTTGGAAAGTTAAAGACTTCTAAAACAAATTATTGAATTACAGATTTAAAAAAAAAACAAAACTGCAGACTATTTAGAAACAATAATGAAAGTGTTACATATCAGAAGCTATGAGATACAGTTTAAAAATTTATAACTCCCTCCCAGCCAAACAATAGGCACGTAAGATAAACAATAACACCCAAGAGGAAAATACTCCCTAGAACAATCAATTATAAGATGAAAAGGCAGGAAAGGGTAGATAATCAGGGCAAAAGAAAATGGGGAACCCAGGGCAGAAATGGGAAGAGTGCAGACGCATTGCGGAGAATGAAACTAAGGTCGTGAAACACTTTATATACAAACTATTGAATGAGAAACTAATTTGCTCTGTAAACTTTCACCTAAAGCACAACTAAAAAATTTTATAGACCTAAATTAATATATTATTAGCAAGAAAGAATGAAAATAAATGAAGTATCCAACACAAGAAGTTAGGAAAAGATCTATAGCATGATCTATAACATAAGCTTTAAAAAAGCGCAAAAAAGGCATTGCTAAAGATAAAAACAGATATTAATTAAGTACAAAACAGAAAAGTTGTATAGCTAATAAATTCAAGAGTTAATGT